GCGCGTGGGGCGCCCGCGTGGCCTCCCCTCTGCGAGGGCGCGCGAGAGGCCCCCGCCGCCTCCCGCCGTCTGGCCGTCACGGGGAGAGGCGAGAGGCACCGCTGGGCCCAGCATACCGAGCGCCGGGGCTGCAGAAGAGGGGCCTCCGTCCTCCGGAGGGGGCCGGTCCTGGGCTCCAAAGCCAGGGACGGAGGGAAGGCAGAAGCAGGATGGGTGATGAGAGGCTTCTGGCTCACGCTGGGTTTGCTGCAACCTTTGCTACTGCCACAGAGCACGAGGCAGACAGTAAAAAGAAGGGCGAGGACTCGTATTCCCAACTGTAATGCACGTAAAAGCGAAGGAGGAGCCCAGCAGTGTGTCACGGTTGACCCTGTCGTCAGCTCATTTCCCACGGGCAGACCGACGCTCAGGACTGCCTCAGCGTTTTCTACAGACTCAAGCTACGCAGTCGCATAACTCCGCTTTCACACCACAGACACTCACACAAGCTCGGCCTGCTCTGCACAGCAAGGTGCCCGCGACCTGCCAGGGATGCAGCCCTGACAAGTGCCCTCGTTAGCAGCACGACACAGAGCAAAACAGCCTTGCCCTTAGCGAAGAGAAAGGGAAGTCGTGCAGGGACTCAATGCACACAATTTAAATACTCGGGGACAGGACATATACAAAGGACAGAGTTAGGAATAGGAGTATCAGGATGAGGGCTTTTTGCTGCCTCTTTCTGACCATCTGCAGTTTCATCATCTTCCTCACATCAATCAAAGTCCAATCAATTTATAGTGAAGAATGGAGAAGCAGGGTAATGACCATCATGGGCAGAACACGGTATTAAACCATCAGCAGCAGAGGCAGAACACGATATTAAACCATCAGCAGCAGAATGCCAGTGGGATGGACAGAGGAATGGCAAATAGTGGATGCTGCTGTAATGCATTATTTATGTACAACTGCTGATACAGACACAATCCAGCAAGGAGAAACTCCTCCAACGAAGAGTGAAATCAATCACGCTGTTCTGTACTGCTCAGGGGATACCTCTTCTGTCACTCCAGGATAACCAGAACTGTGCACCACAAACATGAAGGCAAAATACCTATCACTACATTGTGAGAGACATTTGGCAATGATGACGACTTCATTTCAATACATAGCAGCTTTTTAGGTAAGATTCTTAAAATCATTTTTTAATAAAATCTAAGAAATGCTCCTTCAAGATGTTTTTAGCTGAATTAAAACATTCATGTCATCTTCCCCCATCCTTATATTTTTGCAATTTCAGGAATTTTCAGTGCATAATGAATGAACGAATATTTCTTAAAACTATGTCTTCAAAATGAAGTTTTTCCCTCAGATGACATAAGGCAAAGCTGATTCCTACCCTGTTAAAAAGCAAAGCATATTCCCCCTTCCCCTTGCAGGAGGAGGGCTGGGTACTGCGAACCTGCCTGGGTATAAGGAGAGGAGGGAGGGCTGCAACACCCACACACACGGTAGCGGCAGGAAGTTCATGCTGGCCAGTGCCACGTTTCCTTTCTCAGCAAAAGTAGTAAAATCTGGGGATTTTTTTCTATCCTCCTTCTCTTTTGAAGAGGTATTTGCCATACTTTCCCCTCCTGGAAAGAGAACACCTGAAGCTGTCGCTGTGTCAGGAACCCCCCTGCAGACTTACCCACGCAGGCCGAAAGGCGCTCTCTCAGCGTATCGGCCAGCCTGCCACAGCCCAGACCAGACACTTCTGGTTCCTCTGCTGCTTAATCCCAACAACAACGTATTCTGGACACCATCCCTACACCAATCCTAACTATCTGTGATCTGACCGGGTACTATTCCAAACCACATCAACTACCTGAAAGGAGGCTGTAGGGAGGTGGGGGTTGATTTCTTCTCCAGAATAACTACTGGTAAGACAAGAGGAAATGGCCTCAAGTTGCACCAGAGCAGGTTCAGGTTAGACATTAGGAAGAATTTCTACACAGAAGGAGTGGTGAAGCCTTGGAACAGGCTGCCCAGGGAAGTGCTGGAGTCACCACCCCTGGCAGTGTCAAGAAACATGGAGATGAGGTGTGTAGGGACACGGGCACTTAGAGTTTAGCAGGCAGGGTGCTAAAGGGTTTACGGTTGGACTTGGTGATCTTGAAGGTCTTTTCCAACCATAATGATTCTATGGAATCACTTTAAATCGTAGTTTGTTTTTTTTTTTTTTTTGACTTCTCTCTTTTTGTAATTGTGGATATAAAACTCTAAAACTGTAAATAAAAAAACAACTCATCAGATCCCCAGAGGAAAAAGTTCCAATGAATTCATTAAATCCGAGAGCTACTGCTCATCCCGTTTACTGTACATGTATAGCTAGACCGAGGTCACAAACTAAACTCCTCATGAAAGGTTACAGACAGAAACTCCAGCAAAGACAGCACAACGCTAGTGTGCCACTTGCCCAGTTCCCTCATGCTCTCTCATCTTCTGACACGATCTGCAGGTGGTTTTGCTCTGGTGGTGGCCCCATGGGTACCCAGAGCACCACCAAGGCATGAGGGAGTGCAGCCAGGCCGGCCCTCTCGGTACCCACCTTCCTTTCAGACATAACTGGGTGGAAGGGAGATGCCTCCTCCCAAGCTTTAAAATAAAGGCAGTTGGCTGCTCTTTGAACTTGAACATTTGCTTAGTGGTACAGCAACTGATGGTTCTGCCTCCCAGGTTTTTCCTGCACTGCACAAATGCTGAACAGGGGGTATTACCGATCTGAGAACTGAAGAGGTGTTCATGCAAATTTAATCCTACTGCATTTGCAAGAAAAGGGTAGAGTGGGTGGACTGAACATCTCTGCATTTTCAGGAAACATGTAAAACAAGAATTATGTAAAGACAGTAATATTAATGAGCAATGAAAATGAATGCTAAGTGAGAATAGGCAAGAAAATATAGGCCTTTTAATAGTTGACTGGACTGTATATTTTCCCCCCTTATCAATATATTTATACCTAATTCAGTTTCCTAGTAGATCATTCACATTTCTTTTTGCAATGCTGTGGGAAACCTTACCAAAAAAAAAAAAAAAAAAGTAACACAAAAGAGTAACACAAGAATAACTTGGAAAGCAGCTACTGATGGAGTATGATAAAGAGGTCAACCAGTGTATCATCCAAGAGACCTTGACATACGACAGGAGAGTTACACCTCTGCAGCTACGCAAACAGCTGTACAAACAGAACAGCCGAGGTCAAGAAGAGTTAACAGAATCTTGGGCCGCTCATACCGAGACACGACCTCCCAGCGCAAGGAGATACCGTAACCATTAACTTTAGGGACTAACCTGCTGGCGGCTGAAGTCAGCAGCAGGTTGTGCAGGACTAGCAGGGACAGCCAAACCCCGCCAGAGAGTTTCCAAACCATCAGACCGGGCGGCACCAGAAACACCAGTAGGAATGTCAATGTAGTCAGGGGCCACAGCAGGCAAAAAGAGAGGTACTGCCTTGCTCAGTAAAACTATAATGTCGCCTTTCTCATCAATATCCATCTTCTATGCAAACCTTTAATAAATGCTTAGGGAAAAGTGTTAACAGCAAGATGAGAATACAGCAAGCTGTCTTCTCCCCAACTAGTCCCCTTTACAGAAAGCAAGGATTTCTTCAGCTAGAGGAACATCCACAGATTTGTCCAGTCAATTTTAGCCTTCACACTCTCCTACAATAAAGACCTCCAAAATGTCATTACCCGCTACATGAAGTACTGCTTCCTTTCTTTTGCTTTAAAGATGATTAATTCCACTGAATACCCTGAGTAATCTTATTTTAAAGGTGAACAAATGGTCATTCCGTGTTCACCTTTTGTATGCAGTTAATGACATGGCAGACCTTTGTATCTTCCCTTGGTTGCTTCATTTTTTCAGGCTAACACTACCATTTCTTAGACTCTCTCCTACCTCTTCGATTCCCCTGGCTGTTCTCCAGTATACGTTTTCTTCTTTCAATACATCCTTTTGGAGATGGAGGAAGGAAAACTGCACAGTGTTCAAGATGCTGAAGAACCATGAGTTTATACAATGTAACGGTGGTTTCCTTAAAACTGTAACATACTATTCATCTTTTTCCACACCCCGAGTATTTCATTGCTGTCTTAAGACACTGCAGTCCCAAGTGACTAGGGCCCACTTATTAGAAGAAATAAAGCAA